GCTTAACAACTCATCAAAAATATGAAACTCGGAGATATTGTCAGAAATACCCGAACTGGCCACCAATCTGAAAAGACTATTCATACAAGATTCAAACAGTCGAAAGGGCAAAACGCGCGCTAGTATTATTTGACTGACTGTCGTAATTCAATCTTTTATGATGTTTTATGTGAAAAAAGACCATCTAACCAGGTATATTTCCTTCTAAAGTTCAATATTTATACATAGTCATTAGTTTGGAGGAACGCAGAATATTTTGAAATTTACTCTTGAGAAAAGAAGAATTAGAGACTTGAAAAAGATCCTCCTTCAAATACTTAGAAGAGTTTGTATCGCCTTTTATGCAAAGGATACAGATGTAGAGGGAAGCACGACGTAAGGAGCTTTAAAACATCATTAACGCCCATATTAAGTCCTACAATCAGAATAGGTTGATGACTGCCGAATACCGAATGCTTTCTCACTTCAAACGCTAACCTGTCATTATTTGAAATGTCTACAGGTGATGCAGAGGGAAATCCTATCGAACATAATCTTTTTTAAGCAAACGAAGATCTGTAGCCACAAAGATCCGCCTCGGTAAACAGATGGCTCTCACAATTAATACACATGTCTAATGAATGAGAGTATCCTGTGAAAACCTAATTGCAAAGTTTGCGCGGTGCAATCCGCATTTTGTCCTTACATAGATGCAATTGTGCAGTTTACCGATTATTTTAGCCATAAAATAAACATTCTGCTTGAACGTTTGGACACAGCATAAAGTACTAATAACCGCAATTCACCGTGCCTCAGAACGATTGTTAACGATTTTTCTAAATAATTGCAGGATGACTTTAGCTTGGTCATAAGTGCTTTTTGCTTCGAAAACTGAGAAAACTGTACGACGAAACTGACAAAAATTATTCTTATTGTATTTTTATGAACATTTTCTTAATGTAGCACGATTGTTAAGGAAAGAAAGAGAAGACCACCGCCAGTAAAGAACCAGTTACCAAAAAGTCATAGGGTCTGTCAGCATACCTTAAAGTAAATATCTTACAGTTTTAAACCTAGTTGTTAAAACCGTCGCAAAAAAATTCAAGCAATTGATGCATATCGCTGATCATCAGAGATTCGCTAAAAATTCTACAATTTGAAGGTTTATACGGAATTTTAAAAAATCTAAAGATGTTTCCATGCCCATCTGTCGACTTGCATGAAGACATTTTGGCGCAATCAATAAGCAGATTTTTCGAACCAGACAGTATTCATTAAGACCAAACAACTGGTACAACTGGCTCTTACGTACTTATTTTCCTCACTTACATGCATTTATTCTGTCATACAGTTATCATTTACAACAAATACGCTGGCAGAGACGCGGTGGCGAACTTGTAAAAAAATCATTTCTCGCTTCAGACATGTATTTTAAAAATTCTGCACCTGTCCTCAGCACGTTTCACCATTTGCCTTCCCAGTAAGGTTCGCCGCATCTAGTATTGAGGATGGATTTTTATAAAAGGTAGTAGGTGGGCTATGGAAAATTGTCACAAATCTGAACGCAGACGTGTCATTCACTGGAGAAAATATATTGCACATTGTTGATTCATTTGCAGAAGAAGACTTCACGCTACCGAAGAAGACGGGAATGGCCACTTCCAACTCGTTTACACGTTCTAAGCACGTGTCCGAGCAGACCAAACTCGCACAGTCGTACTACACTTAGACCATTAATTTCGAAGTATCCGAAGTTTGAAGCTGTTAACTGATTATAAGTATGGTGTGTTCTCCTAAAATAATGCTGAGCATAATTTTCAAACACATTATCAAAAGTTGACTGGTTGCAAACATGTGCGTTTAAAAATAGCTATTTCAAACAGTGTGTTATAAAGCTGAAAAACGGGATGTCTACGACATTGAAGAAGTTAAGATACTCTGCAAAATAATGCGCTTTATTAGGTTTCTGATGTAAACTCCAAATCCGTCGGTAGTCTACGCATCCCGGTAAAAAACAGTGCATATACTGTCTTGTTCTACATATGATCAAATCTTAAAGGCGTTAAAAGATGATCTTTTGTCACATCTTCTTGCTTAAGTTTGTTCATTATTGATAATTGTACTTATTAATAAGTACATTGAAAAAAATTACTTTAAATTGAAATATCAACAGTTGCCTTAATATATTCCGATTTTGTTAGGCACGTTGTGCAACAGGGCTCATAGAGAAAAATCTTCGTATTCGGCAATGTTAAACAAGAAAACATATTACATTCTTTAACTTACCCACCTAGCCGTTCCGCTTCCCTTGATTTAAAACGTACATGTAAACAATTAACCTATAACCGCCGCTCTTGAAAAGATTAAACAAATATTGGACGAAACATCTCAAGTCAATGTACGCCTTCAAAAGCTGTACAAGGTACTTGCATAATCAGCTTTTGCACGCGGAAAGCGACGGAAAGAGTTTGTTTTTAGGCCGGCAAACAGTGGATACGGTTTTGAGGAAGGGGTGTCAATAGTGTTAACAGGATTTCCTGCTAACTTCACATACGAAACCCGGAGCAATTTCCACTATCTTCGCAGACGAGGACAGACCACTGCACGCCCGGTAACCAACATCTTTTTAGTAAAACCGCATTTGCATTTTATAGACCCAATCAAGTGTTTGGCGATGGTGCCCATCAAGACTAATGAAGAGTCTGCAATCTATGAATAAGCCACGTGAATATCAAATCTGTGACACAGGTGCAAAGTGCTTCTCATCGTACTCTGCATTACTTAACAAAAAATTTCCTTCGGCACCACATGACTGGACGGCTTCTACTGAGTTTTCTCTTTTACTTTCAGACACACCAACTGTGGAATTAAAAAGGAATGCCATAGGAAGATATTGAGGCGAATATTCTCATACCAGGTTCAGGTATAAGTAAGGAAAAAGAAGATACTTTTCTGCTTGACTATGTGTAGGAGTTCCGCATCGGCCCAAATTTGCCAAGCACTGCAGGGTTGTGAAAATCTAGGACCGATTCAATCCCAGTGACCTGCCGGGTGTGGTGTATCGCATCTGGTGCCCAAACTGTTCTTGCAATTTCACTGCTCAGACTGAACGCATGCTCGATTTGCAAATGCATGAACATAAGCTAGCTGTGTGACAAGATTACGGGTTTTCAGAGGTGGCTGTCTATGTGTACGTAATGGGTCACGAATTTAACCTATCTTACTGTTGAAAGGAGAAATCAGTGAGGATGTCATCGAAAATGACGCTAATGCAGAACATCTAAGCCGGTTTTTCGTATCTGTTTTCACCGATAAAACGAACTTTGACGAGGATGGATTGTCTGCTGGGACAACCGACGATCGCGATCAGCTCCGACCGGCTTTTGCATTCAATCCCAAGAAATGGATGAACGCCAGTATGCCGGAGTTGCTCGTGCCAAATTGAGATTTTTGTATACCAATGCTCAAAGTCTCGTTTCGAAAATCGACGAACTTAAAGCGATAGTACCGGAACGAATCCCCGACGTCATCGCCATAACGGAAACTTGGCTTAATGCCGAAATCATGGATGCTGAGATTTCGATACCGCGTTACCAGCTGTTTCGTAGAGACCGTCAAAATAGGCAGGGCGGAGGGGTAGTCGTATATGTAAGGGGAGGAATTTCAGCAGATGAAAGAGCCCACACCCTCTCCCTTGAATATGAATCCGTCTGGATAAAGATAAAGAAGAGTAATGCACAAAATCTAGAATTTCTGGCGATTTACAGACCACCAAACCTTCTGAGTGCAGCTGATGAGTCGCTCCTTGGTTTAGTCAAAGACGTAGCTAGCCACCAAGAGGTACTTATTGCTGGGGATTTCAACGCACCTGCAATAGAGGGGGAAACTATGGCAGCTAATGGTGGACCAGCCTCTTTCAGCAATAAGCTACTGGACCTCACACTCGATCTCCCTCTGGCGCAACATGTGAAGGTACCAACAAGATTTCGAGAGAACCAGAGAGCAAATTGTCTAGACCTAGTTTTCACTAAAGACTTCTCTAATATTGACGAAGTGTATTCCAATGCACCTCTCGGGAAAAGTGACCATACTACGCTACTATGGGATTACTCGCTCTTCTCTAAACGTCAGAAGAGAACAGAGGGCCAACCTAATAAATGGAAGGCAGATTTTAATGCGATGAGGAACGAATTGCTGTCCGTGAATTGGGACCAATTACTCCGGGGAGATCCGGAGGACGACTGGAGATCTTCTAAGACGATTTCACTCGATCTGATTAGGCGCTGTTGTCCACCTAAAGTACAAAAAACAACTAGTAGACCTGCTAGGTTAACTAGGGACCTAAATAGTCAGCTACGGAAGAAAAGCAAAAGATGGAAAATATTCAGGGAAACTGCGTCACCGGCGCATTTCGAAGAATTTCGTCGTCAACGAAATGCCGTCAAAAATGTATCCGTCAGGCACGGAAGGAGTATGAATCCAAAATTACCCGACAGGCTGAACAGAAACCTAAGATTTTATTTCACTATCTGAACAGTAGACTGAAAAATAAGGACCCGGTCGCGGTGCTGAAGGATCGTAATGGTGTAGAGATCATTGAGAACAGCGAGAAAGCCGAACACTTAGGACAGTATTTTGCCTCGGTTTTTACTAGAGAAACAGAGTTTCGCAGTCGCAGTGCTAGCAATGCGGTTGAGACTGCTGATCGCGTGCTTGACTCCATACTGTTCCCGAGAACTCTCGTGGAAAGGGAGCTGAAAAATCTCAAGGAAGCAAAGTCCTCGGGTCCGGACAATATACCGGCCAAATTCTTGAAGGAACTGGCGAATGAACTTTCCAAACCACTGGCGCACATCTTCCGCTCGTCATTCGAATTAGGGAGGTTGCCGTCGGAATGGAAGACAGCAAATATCTTTCCAATATACAAGGGCGGGGCTCGCACTAATGCTAACAATTACCGGCCTGCTAGTCTAACCTGTATCTGCTGTAAAATAATGGAGGCCATAGTTAAGAAAGCAACAATGGAGTTCCTGGGGCAGGGCCCTTTAATCTCAGACCTGCAGCACGGCTTTAGACAGAACCGCTCGTGTCTGTCCAGTTTATTGCTCTCGACGGAGCAGTGGACTCGCGCACTGGACGAGGATGGGAGGGTTGATGTCATATACACAGACTTTAAGAAGGCGTTCGACAGCGTCCCACACAAACGCCTAATCTACAAACTTTCTGAAATTGGGATAAGAGGAACGCTGCTGACACGGATAACAGATTTTCTTACCGGGAGATCGCAAACCGTGTGCATTAAGGCCTCAAGGTCAACTCCTACTCCCGTTCTAAGTGGTGTACCCCAGGGCTCCGTCTTAGGGCCGTTGCTATTCCTGGTTTACATTAACGACTGTCTCGACGACCTGGGATGCAGCGCCATCATGTTTGCTGACGATGTTAAGCTGTGGAGACCCATCAGATCTGATGCAGATAGGTACTCGCTTCAAGACAGTCTCAACCGCCTGAACAGTTGGTCAGCTCGCTGGCTCCTCAATTTTAATGTGGACAAATGTGTGGTCCTGAGACTCCGCACCAGACGGACCAGTAAGGAGGACGATTCCTTTCAATACGTCCTTGGTGGTCAGCCCCTTTCAAATGTTGTGGAACAGAAAGACCTGGGAGTCCTAATGACCTCCTCGCTGAAACCCTCTTCACAGTGTCAAGGGGCAGCCAAAAATGCGACAAGGGTGATATTTGCGCTGAGGCGAGGATTTGTGCAGATCGACAAGGAGCTGATCGGAAAAACCTATGGGGCATTCGTCCGGTCTCACTTAGAGTATGCAGTCCAGGCCTGGCGACCGTCGTTAACGAAAGATTATCGACGACTGGAAAGAGTACAGGCGATGGCTACGAAGTTGGTCAAGAATCTTCATCATTTGCCTTACGAAACCAGGCTGACCGAACTAAATCTGTTTCCTCTAAATTACAGGCAACTGCGCGGCGATTTCATTCAAACCTACAGGATTGTCAGAAGCCGAGAGTGTGTCCTAGACTTTGATGAATTTTTTGAATTGGCCCGGACTGACTGTCTGCGTGGTCATCCCTTCAAACTGCAAAGGAAGCGGGCTCATTCGGACGTCCGGCGGAACGCCTTCTCTCACAGGGTCATCGGGGCATGGAATGGACTCCCTGATGCCGTCGTTCTTTCCGAAAGTGTTAAATCCTTTAAGTGCAGACTAGACGCTCACTTGTTGAGAACCTACTGTACATACAATCATGATTGTTTTAGCGGCGGCAGTTTGCGCCTGGCTCACACTTACCGCTAACTTCTTAACTTTTCGCATTTGCTGATGTAATTGATGACTTAATTTCTGTTTATCGATATGAATAGGGAACTCAAGGGCGAAAGCCTCATTCCCTTAATAAACTGACTTAAAGTGACTTAAATCATCGAATTCTTGGAAGAAGATGTGAGGAAGGAACTTCTAGCGCTTAAAGATCGTAAGTCTCCGTGTCCAGACCAAATACCGGCAAACCTTCTGAAGCAGTTATCTTGAGAATTCGTCAGACCGCTGTCGCACAACTTAAGGTCGTCCTTTGACCGAGGCATTTTCCTCTCTGACTGTAAAGTGGCTAAGTTATACCCCATTCACAAGAGTGGATCTAGAACAACTAGAAGCAATTATTGGCCGGTTAGCCTAACGTGCATTTGTTGCAAAGTCATGGAGAGAATAGTGAAAAAATCCATAATGAAGTTCCTTGAAGAAAATGATTTCATTGCTTGTTCCCAACATGGCGTTCGACGAAATCACTCCCGCCTATCTAATATGCTCTATTCAACGGAACAGTGGTCTCGCTCGTTAGACGAAGGAACAAGGGTCTATATCGTTTACATCGATTTCAAGAAAGCCTTCGATAGTGTTGCATACCGCCGGTCACTTCACAAGGTCCGAGAGTCAGGGATAAGGGGAAACCTATTAAACTGGGTAAAAGACTTCATAACTGGTCCATCACAGTCTGCGTGCATTGGTAGCGCGAAGTCAACGCCAGTGCCAGTTGTGAGTGGAGTTCTCCAGGGCTTTGTACTCGGAGCAGTACTATTTTTACTTTATGTCAACGACTGTATGAATGGACTGGACTGCAATGGAGTCATGTTTGATGATGACATCAAGTTATGGCAAGCGATCAATGGGGAAAATGATGAACGGGCCCTGCAAGAAGGACAGAACCGACTATGTTAATGGTCTAATAAATGGCTGCTGAAGTTTAACTTTGAGAAGTGCGTCATACTGAGACTCAAATCGACTGGAAGAGCCGACGGAGAGGATCACCATTACCTGCTTGGTGGAAGGTGCCTTTCAAATATAACCGAACAAAGAGATCTTGGGATCAACATTTTGTCGACCATTAAGCCTCCCTCTCAGTGCGTTAGGGCGGCCAAAAGAGCAACCAGTGTTCTACCTGCCATTAAACGACCTTTCGTAGACAAAGACAAGTTGTTATTTGGGAAAGTATACGGAGCGTTCATTCGTTCGCATCCGAAAAATGGAATCCAAGCGTGGTGCAAGTGGCTAAAAAAGACTATAAGTTGCTAGAAAGAGTTCAGAGGAGAACGATAAAAATTATGAAAGGCCCCAGAACTTTACCTTACAACTGCCGACTTAGTGAACTTAAACTCTTTTCTCTTGAGTACCGGTAGATTCGAGGAGATTCCATACAGGCGTATCGGATATTGAGGAACCGGGATTGTGCCCTACACGTCGACGATTTCTTAACCCTGGCCACAACAACAAACCTGCGTGGGAACTCTCTAAAAATTAGAGGATCCTAATGAAGCCTGGACGCTCGCAGATACTGTTTTTCACAGTGAGTTGTCGGTGCCTGGAACGGGCTTCCCGTGGACGTAATAATGGCGGATACCGCGGAGACGTTCAAGCAAATACTAGATGTATATTTGCTTAGACAATACCGCTTGTCTGCACAGAACAGCCCTGTAGTGTCAAACCAACGTCTTGCATACACCTACCGCTAATGTGGATGTCTGTCATTTCATTTAACCTTTGCCAATCTTTACTGACATCATCTACAAATGAATGTGTTTGAGTTTCGGCCCTGCATTTTCAATGAAAAATATTCTGCTAAGTGTATATATTAATGACAACATTTTAGTACCGTATTTATTTAAAGTTAGATACCGCATGTGCCGTTTACAACAGCGTTTTCAAAGGCATTGACAATTACCCTTAAAAATATACTGACCTATCAGCCATGGAGATAATCGCCCACGCCAGAAGCAACGGGGGCTGCGGATGGATTAAATGCTGCGCTTCATGTGAGAATTCGAACATTCTGTACGTCGATTTGGCGCCACTATACCAAACTCTGTGTGGTTGGTGGACTGACGTCACTGAAACTTCGCTGAGTCATATCACTTATAACTATTGCTCTTTCTGTTGCCGCGTAGATTGCTGAAAATTGACTCCTGTACGAGTTAGAAAATTCGGGTGATAGAATGGGACACGATCCCTGTCGACATCAAAGTATATTTCAGGTTTCGTTTTCTCTGGATATTGATCCATTTTTCTACCTCTGAAATTTTAATATTTCCATCCAAATAACTGTGAAGCCTGACCTGTTGGATGAAATGGCAAATTGATAGAGTACAATGGAATAAGCTTATTATAACCCCTCTTGTGCGCTATCAGTTTCCTTGAATAAGCCTATAAAGATGACACTTTTTGCGAGTTTGTGTCCACTAACCGACTTTAGTATTGCGGCTGGGTGCGGGTCCGAACTTTTGTAATGAACCTGACCGCAGCGAGAGCTAGTCCAAAGGAAAAAAGATGAAGATAATAGGTTAAGATTAGAAAGTTTGCTAAGGCAAACGTACACACAGTCCTGCTGTTTAAGAACTGGGCACGGCAGTTCTGTTTTTGGCGGCACAGACGGTGGGGCCGACGGAGGCCGGAAACGGAGCGTCCGCGTTCCTCCATGGTTAGCTTTCGGTCGCATTTATTCAGCCTGGACAGTAGAGGAAGTTCGAATGTTGGATTCTACCGTCGGAATTGTTTGGGAGGTACTGTGAGGATGGAAAGGGCAAACTACAGTTTGTTTGTTCGGTAAGGATAATAGGCAAGGCCTTTGAAAACCTTACTGACTTCATGCCGGTCAGTTAGATACAGCTATACACGAACAATAAAAATCTCGTTATTAAAATGACACTTGCATAATTTAGGCAGAACCATTTTAAGAGACGAACTTCCTGGGGTTCGTGGGGTATTTAGCTTGAATTCAGGCTATCGAGGAAAAACAGTAGACACAAATATTCGTCCAAACGTTTCTTGACGGTCCACACGGATGACGCCTACACGACTGATTGAGGAAAATATTCCATTTCACCACTACCCTTTGCGTGGATAATTTAGAGTGGAGACTCAGCCTGGATATTTTTGCGGGCAGCTGCATCGAGTGCCCATGAAGACTAGGCAAAACCTGTCCTGAAATCTCAGTCCATGCTTAAGGCTATGTATTATTTCATATGCCAGCATAAGATCGCGTATTTTCTGCTTCTAACACAAAGAGAATTAATTGAAGAAGTTCGGTCTATCTATGTAAGAATGAGTTTTTAAACCCTTAAGCAGCTATGTTGTATGGCCTTGTACGATTCTTGAGGCATGATTAGCGTTCTGCCAGCCCTGGCCGCCACGTTAATATGTCATTTTCCAAATGTGGCAGGACAAAGGCGCAGTAAACTCTCCGAAAATGTTGTTGTCAAAGGTCACAAACGCCCTTTCGATCGCATGGAGTACTCCTACAACGTTTTTCGGAGCCATAGAGTACTGCAGTGCTGATGTCACGTCGCTCTGTATCCAAACACAGCGATCTCCTTGCGAGGATGTTTCAGGAAGACTATTTTCTGTCAGGTGACATGTCCTCATGTTGTCATTTAAATGAAAGTTATTCGGACACAGACGAGGGATGGCATCTTTCTGCACATGGAAATTCATGATCCATTTCTTGGACCACGTTCGAAGTCGGGGAGATGATTTTGAACTGCTTTCTGGCCATTCGGGCTCTTAATAACTTGACAGGTTGATATATATGGTGGCATAGCGAAGTTTCCGAACACTTTTAAGTGAGTTATAACGTCGTCCGCTTCTGTTGCTGAGTAAAAAATCCGAGAAATCCTGTTTGACCAATGCCCTCAGTCCCTGAGTGACCTATAAGACGTATTAATGATGTCATCCATCTTAACTTCAGTTGCTTTTGTGGTTATGTTCCAACGTTATTCAAGTGGGTGGCACCAATCGGACCAGATTTTATCTCAAATAAGTGTGTAATGCTATTTAAAAGGAATTTTAATCTTCCTTTTAACTTCTCTGAGATTCCAACTTTTTAAAATAGCAAAATTTACTGGAGGCAGTAAATTTCGCGGCGGATCATCAACTGCAGCCTGTCGTTGCATAACACAGATAACAAGTGAGAAAGACACAGAAGTTTGAACTCTCACAGAGAAAGCCAATGTAAAACAGTAAGGTCGTCGTACACTGCATGCAGATTAATCAATAAAATGGTAACTTCAAAACTTAACATATAAAATAAAATGGGGAAATTAACATGCCGAGGGATTTCGCAGCGATCAGGTCCGACAAAGACCTTTGTAATATCCTTACGCTTTAAGGGCGACAACATCTCAAATACCATCAAGCGGCAATTGAGATGCGTCACAGAAAGAACATACAGCTCAGCTGAGCTCATATTCTGCAGTCCTATTAAGGCTTTCCAAGTGTCACGGGTGAAGGATATCTTACCATTGCCCGCCACGTCAAATTGTGTTTACGAATCCACATGCACTTGTGGATTCAAATACATTGAACGAACGCAAGGGCAACTGGCAGCCAGGTCAGTTGAGCACCTGTCTAAATGGCTTCTAAAGCAGGAGGATAACATTCCATGGTCTTCTATTACAAAGCACCTCCTTGATAGCGGTCATTCGGCTGATCCTAAAACATCTTTTCGAGTATTACTTCGAGCACCAATAACTCGGTTACTGCGCTACTTGGGGGCAGTCTGCATACGGCGGAAGAAACCCGACCTATGCAAACAGTTAGTCCACGTGGTCAACCTTAGCTTGCCCTGGTAGATGTGAGCCCTCTTTGATTTACGATATCCCTCGGCATGTTAATTTCCCCATTTTTCTTGCCTATGTTGCGTTTTTAAGTTACCATTTTGTTGATTAGTCTGCGTGCAGTATATGACGACCTTACTGTTTTACCTTGTCTTTCTCTGCGGAAGTTCAAACCTCTGTATCTTTCTCACTTGTTATCTGTGTTATGCAACGAATAGCTGCTGTTGATGATCCCTCGCGAATTTTCCTAGTTCCAATAAATTCTGCTGTCTATGCCTGTTTTAAATTCATTCCGGGAAAATATTACTTCAAATTTTTTTAAATAGAATTTTGGAGTTCATTCTAGATAGTCGCATATCCTGTGGAGTAGAAAATTGTTCGTTGGGATTTTTTGAATTCCCGGGCCCTTATAATATTTGCGTTAATCTTAGTGTTACGGAAGGTGCGTTTTGGCTCGTTCATTTTGAGACTATCCTGGTCATGTAAGACCTTGAATAGGACATTTGGACCATTTTGCAGTCAACTGATCTAGAGGGATCGAAGACTGTATTTATGATATAGTTATAAGTATGAACCCTGTGTGCCATGACATTTAGACAAAGGTCTAGTAAAGCGTCTCTGAGTGCCTTCTAGTTTGTTTCGGCAATCTGAGGGCAAAATGCCAAAGAAAATTGAATAGTAATTTAGGAGAGTTAAAAAGTAAATTTTTAAAAGGTGTATTTTTAGTGCATTTAATGTAAAAAATCGTTACATATGTATCTGCACACACGAGTGGCTTTCGGTGATATTTGTTGAACGTGGGGAGATAAGTCCAGGATATTTGTATAGTTCAAACCCAAATATTTTATTGACTGGATCTCCTTTATTTCACTATTCTCGAAAATTATGGGGAAGTTTTGTTAGTCAACAATCAGGAGATGACATTTTGCCGGTGATAATTACAGTTTCCACAAAATACTCCATGCACGAAGTTTGCTAAGATCGGTTTAGATTGTTCTGTACGTATTGCCTACAGCATGATAGTTGTATGCGTATGCGAGTTTTCGGTCGTCTGCATATAAAAACGTCTTGGCTGAAAGTGATATAAGCAGTGAGTCGTGTATATATACGAGGAATAAGAGGAAACTAAGGGTAATGTCCTGAAGAACTCCACTTGTAATATGCGATTGTTTTGAGACCACGGTTCGAAACTGTACCACTTGGTATCGGTTTTTAAGATGGGATTTGGGAAATTCAAGAAAGTGGAGCCCAATTCCAGGACAAAAAGCTCTTCCTAACCAAGCTTATGGTTCGACTCACGCTACACCTTTCGTCGTAAGGATTAATGAACGACGGCTGTCAAGCAATTTATGCGACCAAGAAAACTGTCCGTAGTCAGTCCGTTGTCCGTGACAATTACTGCTATAGCAGGCAGTGTGTCGCCACACAGAAAAGCCGCTTCAAAAAGGAAAAAACCTCCAGTGTTAAATTCGGTCCTTCCGGACATAATTACCTGGCAACATGGTTCTGATTTCCTATTTTCAAATGCATGGCACTGCCATACAATAGCCAGCGGAATCTGAGCAAAAATCTACTTAAACTACACACACATTGGAAAGGAGACTCAAGTAAATTTGAATGTGTTACTCACAGACACAGCCTTCACGAAGCAGCTTGAGAAACTGTGGCACGGACGTCGTGAAAACACCAGTATTGTGTGCAATCTGTACCTACGGGACAAATCATCGTGCTGATTTTCGAAAAGGTTAGTTTTTTATTGAAAACGCTCAGAATGGTTATTGTAGGTTGACAAAAAAATCAAAAATACTAAATCTACAACATGCAATTAAATATGTCGAAATACTATGTTGGATTCAAAAAAACATGAACGGGGGTGGAGATCTGTACATCTGTACAGCAAGTGCTAACTTAAAATGAATGGGCGAAGCAAGACAAAAATGGAAATGTGCAGATGAGGAAACCATCGTTAAAACATACGATTTATCTCCAATAACGAAAACACTGAAGTAACGGATGCACGTTACGTACATTTATAAATGACATCCAAATACATACTTTAATTGCAGTAATGACGCGCCTAACGTTAGGTATTAAAAGTGGTATTTCAGACGAGCAGTAGTGACATTTGTCGGTGAGTTGACCTGCTAAGCTGATAAAGGAGCGCCCATCGGTAGGCCATGGCAGCGTTTTGTCAATATCTTGATTTATAAATGCACGTTTTTGCATTTTGGCCTTTTATTTTCTTTGGCCGTTATTTTGTTTTAATTATTTACTGACGTCTTCACGCATCGCCTAGCTTACTTTTTGGTTTTTGGGTTGTGCGGACTTCACGTTCCACTAGTAATTAACCGCATGCTATTCAATTAGCTAACCCTCCCCCCATAGGACCAGTGGCGCGTAGGTAGCAATTCACTAAACTTCTTAATGTTCTCGCTTAACAAATATACGCGACCGAGGACATGCACTGGGAAACTTGCGTACATGCAAAAATAATGAAAAAAACCTAGGTACAGCAACATAGTTGTTGGTGGTGTGTTTTACGGCTCTGCATTTTGAGGTCTTTTCCTCTCTCCCCTCTCCATCCATCAAGTTCATCTGCTTTACCGTTCTTTTTGCTTCGCGTTGTTTCATTTGCTGGTAAATTTGCCAGCAATGGCATATGCCATTCGTTATATAGTGAAGGTTAATGATGCTGAAGGCATGCCGACAAGGACAAGAGGGACTAAAATAGACGTTTGTGGGTTATTAGCCGTCGTCGGCCAGCCATCTTTCAAGCCCAGCTTCGGATAGCCCACGTTCCGTGCCTCGACGCCTTAGTCGTCGGACCCTAAGTCCTGCCGAGGCAGCCGACGACACACTGGGTCCGAAGCTAAACGATGGAGCGTTGGACATAACGTCTGATGACAAACGAATCAATATTCGAATATCCGTTTGTCAAAGCCCATGGTTGGATACAGCCGGCTGAGAATAACCCATCGACTAGACCTGGCCATTCCAGTCTTTGACAGATGTCCTTCTGTAATGTAAATGACTGTTTCGTTTTTCCGGTCAAAAGGTTGCAACACCTATACTGGTGTTCATGGACTTTACCAAACACCTGACACTCAGTTCAATTTTTCCACTCCAACTGTGCTTCCGCATCGCCATTATACTTATGTCTGGCCACTTTTAGCATCGCAGCCTGTTTTTTCGTCTACCCTGATATTGTGTCAGTCTGTTTTTCTTGCCGACGATTACTGCAGGCTTTATGAGGGCCTTTGCCCCAATAAATGACACGCAGTCGAACTCTGAGAATGGCGCAAATTCCTGGGCCACTTTTCTTAGTAATCACAGTCTTTCACTGCCGTTATGAGTTTGGCTGAGGATTTCCGGCTGTCATCCCACGGTTCCTAAAGTGGAATTCAAGAGGGCGCACAGTTTGCGATTTTTTCCAATATTGCACTGCTTGCCTTCTTAGAACACTTTTTTCTGAATTTTAATTTATTCTGTGAGCCCCGTTTATAGATACATCTGTACATATTCCTGTTTTATGCATTCGACTTTACAGGTCGTTTCGTTATGACAAACTCAAGTGCCTAAAAGGAGACCTCACTCGTCGGCCCATTTCGCCTTATCCACCCCTCTGAGCCATGGTTTATGCACTTGACTGTGAAATGGTTAGCGTATTCTGGCCGGGCTCCAAGAAGTTCAAGTCCGTAGCCGCTCGTGTTAGCATGGTAGACTCCTCCGGGGTGATCGTCTTCGATGAATACTGTCAACCGCCGCATAAAGTGTACAGCTACAACACTGAATACAGCGGTATAACGCCGGATCACTTAATTGGCAAAATGCCCTACTCGGAACTTCGCTCAATTGTCTCTGGTCTCATCGAGGTATGCTGTTTTAACCTTTTGTAGAAAAACGTACAGACAAGATGCAGTATTGCTCGAAGCCCATATTTGTTTTTCGTGGGAGTGAAGGCTTTTTTCATGTTTTGCTCCTGTATAGGCAGTTTTCGTACAGTAGGTAGGTACGTTAACCCTCGTACAGGACCGTTTCGCTTATGTAGGGAATTATTTGCCTCGTTACCCCCTCCATAAGCCATTTATGCTCATTAGAACCCCCCCCCCCTCCTCGATCTTCGGACCAGAACATCCCTATATTGTGACTTCCATTGCCTACCACCCGAAATATGTGAGAAGCTCCGGGTCTAGACCCGTACGACCACGGCAAGATGGGATCATCCGTATGCGACGTTACATTAAGGGCCGATCGATACACGCGACTCCGATGCGTATGTATTTTCAAAAATTGATAAAGTGTGTAAATCATTAAAGAGCTGCCCATAATGGACGAAAGCTGTTATAGTGCCTGTGGAGTCAGCCTTTTATCTGCTTGACGTACTTACCGTTCGGGCTTAATTGTTCCCAGTTCACACGTAGCTTTCAAAGAGCGTATTATCTTTCCCTCTCTGGTACTTACGCCGCCTTAAGAACAGCCGAAACATGCGCACAGGGCAACCAATTACCGGCGAACACAAACTCCGCAATGGACCCAGGTGACCTGACTGACTCACCCATAATGCGCGCACAGGTCCAGAACCCACCAATCGTCGGGAGCTCAGACCATCACTGATTTTCCTTTTGGTATCCACGACTTCTATTGGCCTCTCCCTTGCTCTCCTCCTAAACTGGACTTGGCCATGATTGCTGTGCTGACTTACGTACTTAGGCCTAGTAGCCGTCATACACGCCAACATATGCAACATCACCTATCCGACGAGGATACTTTGGAATAGGTACTCGAAAGGTCGGTTGTTTTGGCTTTACGCTTCCATGGGACCACGCATACATCGACAAACTAGTGGGTGCGGAGCGGAGGATCAAGCTCTTTGCCGAAACTTGTAGTAGTAGCCGTTTATGCGCCCTAGCAGAGGCATTTCCAAGGCCCTTTTTAGAATGGCTTAAGTCTGTATGGCTGGAAACGTCGCAGCGCTGCTCCCACCCCGACTACAGAAAACAGCGCCGACTGTTTCCAAATTTCACTACCACCGGTGGTATTTGCACTGATTTGTATACCTAGTCGCTCCAGCTCGTTATCGGTACAATCAAATCCCTGAGGAGTCTATTTGGCGGTGGGATAGGAAGTCGGAGTCTCCGGGACACCGTGCATCTGTGCCTCGTCATTTTTTTAAGAATGACGTGCCTAACCGCCGACACGGCATGCACCTGCGTCGGTGAGCGTTGAGGGGAGTGCTGCGTAAGAATAAGGAATTTCAGCCTCTGCTGTCCGAGGGATCACCGTGCATGTAACGCGGCTTGGAGTTCTCTACTTTCTGGTGCACAAATTTTGGTGAAGACTGAACTCATGCATCTACCGGCGAAAACTGCGGAGCAAATCGGATGCATAATAGCTATAGTTGTAAACAAATTATCTTACTTT